GTAGGGCGGTAGTTGAACTGGAGAGGGGCTGCAACCACATGACGTGAGTCTGCCCTGTCCTTTGAAGTATGCCTTATACTAACGGTTATCTTAGTTGCCGCTGCACAGCAGAATTCTGCTACATTTGTGGGGAGAAGTGGAAGACGTGTAATTGCCCCTGGTTCAACTACGAGCCTGAAGAAGACGACTACGTCATTCCCATCTGGAACCCTGACCAACCCCCCCCCGCCCTCCCTGCCGGATTCGCCGAGCGTAGAGAACAGCGCGCTCGTGCCCGCGAAGAGCAGCTCCGTGCTGACGAAGCGCTTGCTCGTAGACTAGCACGGGAAGAAGGAGCTCGTGCACCTGTCACCCCAGGTTTCAGTGATGAATACTACCTCCCGAGCCCACTGCAAATCGACGCGCTCGCCACCCTAGGCACGATCGGCACAGGGCTGCGAAACGGCATCCGAAGACTAGCAGCAGACTACGTCGAGGCAACACAAGCCGCGCGTGATCCAGTTCTCGCTCTCGTTCCTACACCAGCCCGTGTTCCCCGGCTTCAACAGCCACCCCGTGTCGAGCGCAGGAGAACAGAACCCCCACGCGTTAGACACAATCGCAGCCGCGAGGAGATCCGAGAGAACCTTGTCAACCTCCTTCAAGAGGCGCAAGAGCTCGAGGTCCGTCCTTCCCCCATACGTGCGGAGACAGAACCACCCCGCCTGAAAACCCCACAACTCCTCCTCCCCGCCCCACCGGCACCAGAACCAGCGCCAGCACCAGCACCAGCACCGCCGCCAAGCCGCTACCTCAGCGAAGCCCGCCAAGCACATATAGAAGAATATCTCCGCAATATCGAAATCCCTGAGATAGAACCCGTCAGCCCAATATACGAGGAACCGCGCATGCAGTTGTCCCGTCGCAGAAGAAACCACAATTTTGCCGCAGAACACGATCTCGATATTGACAGAAGAGATCTTGTTGACATGAGTTTCGGGCATGCACCCGCACCTGCACCTGCACCCGCACCATTACCGAAAGATCCTGCTGCCGAGTGGCGTCCAAGAGGATTCAATGCTGGCCGTCTCGGCCTCAACGACCCTTGGCATCAACACCCGGCTCATGCACACCCGATGTTCCGCAGAGCCATGGCGACCGGTGAGGTTCCTAGACGGTGGGGAGCTAAAAGGAGGGGGTACTAGTTTTAGTCGAATCATAATTCTAATTTCAGTTCTTTGTTTTTTTATATACTTGTTTTTTCTTTTCCCTTTTCGTATATTAGTCTAACATACATTGGATGAAGTCCTATTCCTTGCGAGGATCGCCTCCGTCTGCGATGCAGGCACGTATACCT